GTAAAAGCTGCATATTTTTTGTGAATTTTCTCTTAAAACCGGACTATGGCCTGATTACCCACGACGTTCTTATTTATTTTTTTGTTTTTTGTAAGATTAATTGCAACACGGGCCGAATNACAATAAACACACATATTGGAATTTTAAAAATGGTTAAATCACAGCCTAGAGTAAAAGCTGCATATTTTTTGTGAATTTTCTCTTAAAACCGGACTATGGCCTGATTACCCACGACGTTCTTATTTATTTTTTTGTTTTTTGTAAGATTAATTGCAACACGGGCCGAATCACAAATGACTAGCAGCGCATGTCATGAAAAAAAAATTGGGAATTTGTACAGCGAGGTCACTGGTCACTATTTTTGTTTTCTTTTGGAGTGATTGCCCGTGAAGCAAAAATCACGTGCTTACACATATAAAAGGGGGACAATGATGCGGATGTTTCACCTCTCCAAATACCATGTAGGTTGGGCATGCCCAACTCTCTATACAACAAGGGGCACATATACAATCAGCCAACTAATAAAAAATAAAATAAAAAAATCCCCTCCATCTTAACAAGCAAAAAAACTAATGTTTGGTATGTTTGAAGCTGAAATTAGGCATTATCTGTCTTATATATGCTCCTCTAGGCAGTGACTGAACACCAAAATTAGTTCAGCAATTAAAAGATCCTGCGACGCACCTTCATACTTGGACAAAACATATGCAAGTTCATCTTCTTCCTTGTATTATATTGAGCTTTGTAAATTGTAATTATGTTAGCTCCTGTATGATATCCTTCATTTGTCTAATTGTATCTTGAGTCCACGTTGCGTTTATGAGTTCGAGTGGTCACATTATCAGGTACAGAAGTGTTAATGGCCATTTTGAGATGAGTACTGGGATTGATCAAAGGCCATCATGCAAAAAAGAATCTTCACATTTATAACCGGTTGGCAAATTGGCATTAACTTGAAAATATCGAGCTAGGGCAATTATTGAAAAAATTAGTTGGCGTAGCCACTTTTAGGCTCCGTTATTAGAGTTTGGCTACCTTTTCAAATGCATTGGCAACATAGCTACCGGTCAAACTTCTCTAAGGAGCTCAACAAAACCACTAGCCAGATCTAACTTTCACAAACATATTGGCTGTGTTTTAATCTGCATCAATTATACAACAACAACAACAACAACAACAATAACATACTCAGTATTATACCACACTGTGGGTCTGAGGAGGGTAGTGCGTACGCAGACCTTGCCCCTATCTTGTGAGGAATCTGCATCAATTATATACAACAGAAAAAAAAAAGAAAAAAAAGGAAGAAAGAGGAGATTCATCGCAACAAGATCTTTATAAAACCAAGCTAAACAGCCTAGTTTGCACTCTGATAGAAGAGAAAGCTGTTGGTATTCTAACAGGCAAGTCAATATTGCTAAGGTTAACAAGCTAGTATCATGTTTTGATCCAAAAATCTTCCTGTTAAAGCACAATCCATTCATTCTCCAAGACTTTGCATAGACCTTCCAGATTTAACACAACAATTAATTCTTATACAATTGTTATCAGCACACTCGATTAACAAAGACACCCGCCAAAAGAAGAAAGGAGGTAGCAAAGAAGTAAAAAGGTTGTCTACGAAATAAACCAACAATTTACAGTTCCAAGGTAGAAATGAGGTGCCTGTGGGGGCTACGAAGAAGGTCATTGGCATATAAACAAGGTAAAAACACGATTTATGCGTGATTTGTGATTAAGCAAAACAAAAATAATGAAAAATGAGTCAATGAGATAAGCATAATTAGCACTATAACCATGGCAGAAACTCATGATATAGAATGAGGTCTACTTATCATTGCAAAGATATTTGTAAATCCAGAATTCCTTTCAGAGATGTACCAGAACTTCAAAGAAGCAAGGCACAAATATATTTCACAAATGTCGACGCAAAATGAGGTAGATGAAAGAAAAAGGGAAGAGTTTAAGTTTCTTTAAGTAGATTTAACTAACACATACTGTAAAGACAAGCTCAACTAAATGTGGCAATAATTTACGAATGAACTGTACAAAGGGATCATCGATGCTTGACACACAATTTTAGATACAAAATGCCTAAAAAGGTGAGCAGCACAATAAGATGAAGGATAAGCTCACCACTCATAAGACATTCTTCCAGAGCAAGACCATAAGAGAGTTGGTGATTGAGCTCACCAACCCATCAACGTTCTTCTGACTTTGTATACAATCCGATTTCTACCAACCATACATGACATGTCAAATCTATAATTTTCTTCTAGAAGGAATCTGTAAACCTCCCACACGTGATCACTTGTACAATGCCTTCCAATTTCCGCCTGCAAAAAGATATTAAAGGTCATCCACCGTGTGAAGAGGGATGAAGTGATATAATGAACCAACTGGAGCAATAAAATTAAAAACATGGGCATGATCACCAGGTCTATAAATGGGAGGTTAGTTGCTTAAAGAGATAATGCCTCCATTCAATTTTCTTTAGAACTTCGTGCTTTAAGCAAAGGAGCATACACATGCAATCCATCACTTTGAAACATTCCTTCACCACTAGATACTTACCGAGAAGATGCAGATCCCTAGGGTCTTCATTGCCAGTGTAACGTCATAGAAGACACTTGGTCTGCCCTTTCCAGATAGCTCCACAGGATTAGCAACCAAAAGTTCAGTATCTGGCCCACGATTTGTGATGATTACACGTAGAGGATGAAGCATTTCCAGTTTTAAGCGGGAACAAAGAACATCTTGTTTATCTGGATCCACAATCTTTTTCCCATCCTTCTGCCGAATAAAAAGGTCTAATTCCCTCTGACCCTTATTAACTGGTGAAAATCGACCATAAGCAATCTAAACACAAAAGGAAAAATCAACTATCAGATTAACCAGCATGCTTTTCTAATTCATTATTTCAGTGTCATATAATCCAATGACCAGTAGAAATATGAACCGAGATGAAAGTAGTGGATTTGGAAAAAAAAATCTCATCTATGAACAACAAACTTTTGAAATATTCCGCAACTGTTACAGAACAAGGTTTTGCTTTAGATATCATTAAAACAGTAACGAGAACGCCGGGAAGAATCATCTTCTTCCTTTGTTTGATAGCTAAACAAGCATTCAGTTTCCACAGCAGAAGACAGAAACTTACAATAATGATTACCTACCAAGAATACATTATTCCTTATGTCCCATTTCGGCTGTCCACTTTTAGTTTGACATATTTTCTTTTCATGAAAAACATGTGAATCTCTGTGTTTTGGAAGAGCAGAAGAAAAGATAAAGTTGTACTGAGAAGACTAGAAGCGGGACCATGAAACTTCAGTATTTAAATATATTAAAATTTTCAGTTTAAAGAAAGTGGATAACATTTAGAACACACCATACAGGAAAGTAGGAACGGCATTTTAGAGAGGCAGTGTCATTTTACGTGTGAGGTTAAAGAATAGGAGATGAAAGATATTTGGCGGAAAAGAACAGGACCTAGCACTGGATCAGGAGACAAAATAAGACTATTGAGGATGCTTCTGCATAGGCATAATGTTTACCATTTCATCAAAGTGGAGACCAAAGACAACTTGACAATATCACTGAACTTGCGTACCTAATTTTCTCTATAGCATAGAAAATTCTAGTACTTTTGGTCCTATGTTTGCTAGGAGTCCTTTGGTCTTGTTAAAGATTTATATGCCAGTGCAGAACTTCTAGGGCTAAAGTAACTAATCTTTTAGACATGGATAATGAGGATTCACATAGTCGACCCACTCAGGATTGAGGCATAATAGTTGTTGTGGTAGAAAATAATGCAATTACTGACTTCAAACTCATTGAAGTCAGGGAGGAACCCAATTCAGGTCAATACAGACAATAACAGGATACTCTCACAACTATAAACAACAAAAATGAAACGGGAAAAGTAAGGGATATATAATTTTTAATATAATAGTCAGTACCAGAATATTGCAGTCTTTCAATGTGCGCATAATGTCATAAAGAAAACCCTTGTGATCAACACAACCAATCTGAAGTAATGTATGCGCGGGGCTCATCGAATTATCTATTGTCACACTAGCCCTCTTCAAATTAATCATATCTGGGCTAAGAGCCTGTGTGTGAAATTCATTATCTGATAGTTCACACCTAAATAGTTCCTCAGCAACTGATGGAGAAAGAGAAGAGACACATTGCACGTTGTCATACTGTGGGCCTGCTAACTGAAGCTCACAACTAAATGATTGGCCCAGAACAGCATGCAACTGCTTGTACATCTCATCTTGCCTCTCTTTTGTGTGTAAGAGCTCCCTGAACATGAATATTAGTGAAGAGATATCATCGATAGCTATAAGATCTTTAATTAACACAGTAGAAAAGCAGAAGTTTTGTGCTGAAAGATCTATATTACAATATCTCAAAAATATTTCTTTTTCCATCATTAACCTCTCTTAATAATAATATAATTGGTTATAGACAAAAGGGAATGCAATTATAAGATTTAAGGCAGGAAAAGGTAAATGAAAACATCATCTGCAGATTATATTTTTGTTAGTCCAATATAAAGTATGGATGAAAACAGGACCTTACGTATCAGAAATGGATGTTATTTGTCTTCTGAACAGGGATATATCATGCATGCTTATTAACATTCTTAAAAGTCAGTTTGATACAAATAAAGCAACACCAATGGAGCAAATACGAGAATACCTAGTTTTTTTCCTTTTAAATCCAATAAGACCTACATAATAAATTAGTGAGAGTCTAAAACGAAGAAGCATCATGTAAGCCCCAAGACACTGCAGCGGAAAGACACAAAAAGTTTACAAAACAGGGTAATTCCTATTTAAGACGTGTTAATAGTTAATTCACTTAAACCAGATTCTCTTTTTTCATTCAGACCCCACTGTCCCGCTCCGCCATGCATTTAACCCAAGTTCTGTATCAGACTGTTTAAGAGATCACAACAAGAACAACGACAGGTCCATTACAACTCTACAACTCGATATTCTTTGACCAAAATGGGGAAGAGATTTCCTTACAAGTTGTCTGTTATGAAGAAAAGGTCCAGCACACGACCATCTGGAGTTGTTGTCACCTTTACCCTTTGGATGGTAAGCTCAAGCTCACAGAGAACTTGGGTAACATCTAGCAAAATCATGCAATTAAATCAGAAAAGAAAAAACATTAGTCGAAAATTAGGACCAACAAGAAATTTATTTTACCATGCAATAATCCTCTTCGGTCGCGGCTGCAAAATGTCAGCAGGTATGCAGGAGAAGAAGTGGCAGGCGGAGATGGTTGGTTCAAATAGAATGAAACAGAACATGACGGGCATACTGATAGAAGGCGCTCCTTCAAATTCGCCCACCTTACCATAGGTGAGGAAGCATGAGGAACCACCCATAATATCACATAGCACCATATCCCATCTGTTGAAACATCTGATTCATAGAAACTTTGAGCACTAACTAAAGATGAAGAGAAAAGGAAAACTAAATAAATCAAGGGAGCTAAAGTGCCAACAATTAGTCAATGGCAACCTTTGGTGTAGGGGATTCAATTAAATTCCCTTCGCCGGAATCTTGCACTGTGCGGGAAGGGTAAAATATTTTTTTTCACATATATAAAATATTGAATCCCCTTGACATAGGTTCATATTTTAGGTGTGACATTTTTACATTTTATTGAATCCCCTCACTCAAATTCCTAGTTCTGCCACTGCCATTAGTACATGACTATAGTTTTAAGAGAACAGGAGAAGCAAAGTCCGATAGCTAAAATTGTACAACTCGATGTTCATTCACCTCAACAAAAGCGTGAAAACCAATATGGTAGTATAACTTCATGGTGAATCCATGATTTAAACATCGTGCCTGCATGCCCTTAATACATATACATACTTCTTAAGTTTTCTTTATATTTTCTACATACATATATAGGCCGAGCCGAGACAGTAGGCAAACATTTGCAATATCCATTACAATATAGATATCACTACATACATATGTGCCTAAAAGTGTCACCAAAAAACTAGACAAAGCATGCATAAATGCTGGCAATTGAGATATATAATTTCAAAACAGAAATAGGAAACAAAGCTTCCCTTAACATGAAAATACGGGTAGACTGTTAAAATCATTAAAAACAAATTGAAACTTGGAATAATCCCGCAACAAGCAACTTATATGTAACATCCAAAACCCTAATCAGACGAAATATTAAACAAAATAGAAGTAAATAATCTATAAGATCGCAGCTAGAAGCATGTGGAGAAAACGTGAAGCTGGGATATATATATATAAAATATAAGATTAGTAGATTACCTCCTTTGATAATGTAGAGACCAAAATCGAGAATAGTATTGCAAATATCACAGCCGAGGCCGGTTTTATCCGGACAATTCACTGTAATTACATACTCAGGTTCACCAGGCTTCTTCCCTTTCTGAATCACTACGGCGTCGTCTGTCGGCAATCCCATGCCGGAATTTTAACCGGAAAAGAAAAAAGTAAATGGCCACCTTGGCTAGTTTTCAGAATTTGCAGAAAACAATACTGGAACGTTCAATGATTAGCAATTTTCGGGTGAAGCAGGTTTTCTGGTTATTTTAGCAGGTATTCTATTGTTTCGAGATAAAACGGGACTACTTTATATATATATATAAAAATCCTAATTTTAAAGTGGGCGTTCAGACATAATAATTGTGAAACTCCAAAAAAAAGCGAAGCAAAAAAAAAAAAATTAAACGTAAAAATAGTATTTGAAAATTAGGGTTGTGGTTGGAGATGAATAAAAATTTGGAACTGTTATTTGAATTTTTGTGAGCGATTGACATGAAAATTTTGGAAAATAACTTTTTAAATTTTTTTAAATTTTCGAAAAAATCTAAAATTCATCTTTTCAAGTGAAATTTGAATTTTTCATGGTCAAATAATGATTCTGAAAAAAGTAAAAGATTTCCTTAAAAAGTTTTAAAAAAAAAGGCCAAACGAGCCCTGAATTGTGTTTCATAAAAGTATGGGTTAAAAGTGTATCGGTCAAAACTTGAGAAGTTGATTTGCTAATAAAATAAATAGATGGAAAGTAGGATTAAAGAGCTCAAGAATAACTGGTCCTTTCTCTACGTTAGTTGGCTTTCATTTTTTTTTTTTTTAATGAAAAAGTTGTAAATAAAAGAATTTTCAGAATAGTTGATACTCGCTCTCTGCCTTTAAGAAACTAAAAGAACAAATCTGTTTACGTAATTTAAATGTAAGAAAGGAAAAGGGAGGGAAAATAATTGTCGTTTTCACGATCAGGAAAATATGATTAATCTGTTATGTTATTTTAAATATGACATTTTTATGCGTATACTGAAAAAATAATCTAGTTTCATGACCCTAATATTATGGCAGGATTTACACTGAATTGTTTGTAATTCAAGGTGTAGATCGTAAAATTCTTACATATATGTCGTTGTAACAGTTTTATATATAAAGTGAAAATAACCCAAAAAAAATATGAGGTGGTTTTATTTGTCGGTAAAATACACGTTAGTTGTTAAGAGAGAGACAGAAAGAGCTGTCTTCTTTGGTTGTTACGTGTGTCCTTTTTTGGATATGTGCTAATTATTGGCTACAGTATCTTATCCAATGCTTTTAGAAAAGTGAAGAAAATACGGAAAAAGTCTAAATATATCCTTGTATTATATGAAATTGAATGCATTTATCCTTCATTAATACGTTAGCCTATATATGCCTTTATTGTCATATAGTTCATATATGTCCTTGCAGTCTCATAGTTGATCCATATATGCCCTTTTCGAAACGGAATCCACCCAAACTAATTAGCTCGTTCTTTAATTGTATTAACGTGTATTACAAACGCTATTTCCTTTTTATTAGCACTTTTTTCCCTTTACCTTTCTCTTTTCTTTCTTCTTTTTCTTTTCTTCTCTTTTTTTCCTTTTCCTTTTTCTTTCTCCCATATCCGATTTCCTCCATTGCTGATGTCTTCTCCATTTTTTTCACCAATTTCACGAGATTTTATTCCTAAAAATCAAACCTACACCACCAAAAGTTCCTAGCGAGAAGGCCCTGGTTCTTCTGAAAAGAAGGAGATGAAAATTGTCGGAGAAATTTTTTCGGCGGTGTTAATTTGGTGAAGGTAGGATATGGTTATTCAGATTTTGAAGGTTTTGTTCCAACCATGTGAGGTTTGTGATAGTAAAATTAGCAGAAATTCTTGAGTTTTGTCAAGTGAAATTGGTCACGAAAATGGAGAAGGCATCAACAATGGAGGAACTCGAATATGGGAGAAAGAAAAAGGAAAAAAAGAGAATAGTAAAGAAAAAAAGGTACTAATAAAAAAATAGTATTTGTAATACATTTTAGTACAATTAACGAAAAAGCTAATTAGTTTGGGTGAATTCCGTTTTAAAAAGGGCATATATGGACCAACTATGTGATGGTAAGGGCATATATGAGCTAAAGTATTAACGAAGGGTAAATGTGCTCAATTTCATATAGTACAAGGGCATATTTAGACCTTTTCCATAGAAAATATAATCCTGATGATAGGTGGGTTGTGAACTTATATGTAGCTTGTTTGGACAAGCTTTTAAAATTAATTTATTAAAATATTTTTTTTAAAAGTAAAAAATACTTTTTAAAAAGTATTTTTGGTGAACTGCTTATTTATAAAATCAGCTACAACATTTAAAAATATTTTTAAACACTCGTGCTTAAAAAACACTTTTTAAACCAATCCAAACGGGCTCTACAAGTCTTCTACCCATAAATTGTAGGACATCTTTTTTATCTCTCTAGCTCCTGTTTCATGAACTACATTGGAGATTCTGTTTCCCAAAAATAGAAAGAGCTTAGCAGTATATGTCTTGAAACTCTACTAATTACTGCTGATTACATGTTCTAATAGAAACTCGAATGCGATCAAATTGTTCTTTTATGGTATATACTAGTTGGAAGCTAGCCCGTGCTAAACATGGGACAAGGTTCATAATAGTTACTCATGGATCAATTTGTATTAAAAATCAACTCAATTTTAGATGGACTGAAACGGACCGGGCCAAAATAGGTTGAATTCAACAAATGAATTTGGGCGTGTCAATTACCTGCCAAATCCTAGAGGGAGTTAGGCGGATTAAATAAGTTTGGGTTCAAATTTCCACCCCTAGGGCAAAATATGGGAGAAATTCAAAAATAGCCAGATTTACAAGTGGTCATTCAAAAATAGCCACAATTTCAAAAGTAATCGAAATTTAGTCATTTTCATGTAAAGATAAATCTGAACAAAAACATCGTTCAAATTCCGAAAAATACTCCAGCATAATATACTGGAATTCTAGTATAATATACTGGACTTCCAGTATAATATACCGATCCAGCATGAAAGCTCATACACATGTACTCCAATCTCCAGTATATTATACTGGAACTTTCTGTATTTCAGCAACATAATGATTATTTTTCAATAACTTTGCAAATGCTGGCTATTTTCAATGATCAGTTCGAAAATTGACTAACCCGTGCAGGGGCGGCTGAAGGGCCAAGCAAATAAAGCATTTGCTTTAGGTATCCAAGCTCTTGGGGCCCCAAAAAATTAGTACTCCAGTAATTAATTTTTTAGCTTAATCTTTTAACAGAAAATATTGGATTTGGTAGTGAAAAGAGTACAAAACTTTTATAAGAAAGGAAAGAAGTGGCCAAAAAGGACAAGGTCTAAAAGGAGATACGGATATTACATTTCGTTTTCATTTTTAAGGTCATGTTTTCCTAATTCTCTTTTTAATTATGCTTTTTCTCTTCTTTTCATATATGCGCTACATATTTGTCAAACAGAAAAATTAAAGCACGTTGAATAACTTGAACTGCATTTCTATTTCGTTCTTTTGAAAGTTCTCAAGCATATCAAAGTAAACAAAGTAAAATTAACTTATTTTGTTATCAATTATCAAGTTATCAACTCCTAGAATCAGATTTTATTATTATAACTTTTATTGTCTTTTTAATGTGATATTTTTTATTTTCTATGTCTATTTCATAGGTATATATTACTCTTTTGGTATATACTAAAGTAGAATTTAAATATGTGAAAACAAGAAAAACTGAATCACGTGCATCTCAAAACTCAAAAATAAAATTAAAAAATTGAAACTTCGATATAATTACCACAAATGTGTTATTGGCAAACTTTTAACAAACAATAAAATACTAAATTAAAAAAATATAGACTGTCTTTTTAAAATGAACATGTCCTTATTTGAGTTAAATGATAATGAATCCAAAAAGGAGAAAAAGAAAAAATAAATATAAAAGGATAAACCTTACTATCAATTAATAAATTATTATTATAAAAAAGTTTGATTATAATTCAACTTTTGACCCAAAAAGCAAGAAAAATGCATATCAGATAAAATATATATGAAATCTCATCAGAAAAAGTTGAAGGCCTCATAAATAGTTTTAGCTTTAGGCCACTATTGTGATTCAGCCGCCCTGAGCCCGTGCGGCAAATATGGCTTATGTTCACTGTTCAATGTGTTGGAATTGGCCCAACGGTCGACGTCATTATGCAAACATCGAGCTTTCTGAAATTCAGTTCCAATCGAACGAACCAGCAACAAGGAAGAGCCTTCATACTAATAGACTACTAAACTTGATTAGGTAAACATCCTATTAGATTACCAAAGTTGATTAGGTAGACATAAAAATGTTTTGAAAGAACCAAGATTCAACACACCAAATAGCCTTCAGGATCAACATCACGCTGGACCTACTGCAGTTCATTTTTTATTTCCTTTGGCTTGCCTCATAGTAATCGTCTTTCTTGAAGATAATTGTCTTTCAGTATGAACAAAACATAGAACATTAAAATCTGGCGTAACAAATATACACAATGGCACAAATTTCATCAACAATATATGCAAAATATATTGAAAAAACGTATAGACAATATGGGTTAGCCAAAATATCTTATGCAGATCTTCCAACTTAGAGCCATTCTATCAATTAATACCAGATCATCTTTTGGATCCTCAGTGACTTGTATCAATCCATGTGAATGAAACTCTTTTGGCATGATAACGTAGCAGTAATCAGATGTTTGATTGTATCCTTTTCATGCTCATTGATGAATTATATCACTATGTACAGAACAAAAAAATCAGAAATTCAAGGGAGTAATGTAAGCCCTATGTGATCAATATACCTTTGATGTCAAGTACACAGCAGAAAGATTTGGATAACTTTTATGGCATCATAGCCCCTGAATCAAGTTGTATTAGGTTCAGTTTTCAACCAACAGTTAAAAGGGAATTAAGTGTTACTTTTAGCAAAGACAGCATAACTTGAGAGCACAAGTTAACAAAGAATACATTACTAAATAAAAGAATCTCAATACCATTATATACCGGCAAGGGAAACCTCTCCTCTTTTATAGCTTGTGTTACTGTTTCTGTAGTCACTTGTACATTTTTTAGTATTGCATTCAACAATAAGATAAAAGTAATTTGCCAGTTTTGAAAGGTTCACCAGCCACTGAAAGCAATATAGTCAGCTTTTCCACAATACTTCTATTAATGGAGGAATTCTTTGTCATTCTTCTTTTTAGCTTCTTCATTTAATTGTAATAAACTGTTACCATCCTCCCCCTTTTTGAGATCAACAAGAATTAAAAAGAATAACTAATTAAGAAGTAAAAGCTGAAAAGTCAGCAATTATGACAGGTACCTTATATTGACGAGTCAGTTGGTGAGCTGAGCTTTCTCATGTGATGGTGAGCACAGATAGCCTGTTGCGAGTAAGTAATCGTTTGCAAATGTTTACATCAAAAGAGATGACAAAAACTAAGGAACTCAACATATCTTCACGTTCAAAGTGCAAGAGAGCTTGATGGAGCTGGAGTTAACTTCTCAAAAATCAAATATTAATACAAATTTGGAAAAAGAAAACTGTCGTTCTCAACACAAGTCATTCAATATCAAGTTACAAAATGAACTGATGAAAATCCCTTGTTTTGAAGCCACCGATGCAATGGAGACCATCTTGAGAAATCTTTCATGGAGTATACATGTCTTAGGGATCATCTTATCAACTCAGATAAAGATGTAAATTTAATAATGATTCAATGCAGACAAATCAAATCACATATTTGTCTGAGTTGAAGTTGATATTAGAAACATTTGGGACGTAAATTGGACGACTGTTGCTCCCGCAAAACAAGGAATTCCCTCAAATCATTATCAAATAAACTCATGCGATCACAACACTTTTCCCTCGTCCACATCTGCATAAATATTTCCAATTTTTTAAAAGTCAACTCAGCTTCATCAATCTCTATTGAAATTAACATATTGGTTGGACATCATGTTGAGGCCCTTAGATTTTAGCATTTCAAGCTCAGCAAGCTCGTTTAGTGGAGGCCATTCTTAGCCTTATCCAAACTTTGCAGCCACAACAAGAACACTGCCGATGGCATCTTGTCTTCCGTCTCCGGAAATTAATATCTACATTTGAATAAGGGTTGCAATGATAAGTGCTAATTCTGTATTGTTCCCTTCACAAATGATACATCTAGAGTTGAAAATTTCCCTGAACCACGATTTAATTATTTAAATATGCATTTCCAAAGTAGGCCCTGCACATGATTTGTGCACGAGGCTGCCCTTATGTATTTGCAGAGTAAAACATGTGGATTGACGTTTTGCTGATCTTCTAAATAGGAATAATTGACTTGCAAACAGAATATCTTGAAATTCTATTGAAGTACAAAGAATACCGCAGATCTTAAAGAATTTTCAAAGGATCAAATCTGATTATATTCTAAATTGAAAAAAAAAGAAGTTATCCCAAATAAGTAAATAAATAAAACACTTACTGTTTCCTGTTGATCCTCCTCAGGCAATGATTTCTCTCGATGAATCAATGATGGCTTTGGGAAGAAAATTCCCTGGCCAACGGAGACTGCGTATTTGGACTATGGAGCTGAAAACCTAGACTAAAGCCTTTTATTTTGACCCATCCCAGCCCATTATAAATTTTTAAAGCCGAATGAGTAAAAATCGTGTGGGGTAGCCATTTTTTAAAGTGGTATTTACTTTTTATCCAGCATTTTTAATGCTTAGTAATAATAACTATTAGTCTATTAAAATCTATATTTATATCTATATCTATATTATATTAAAAGCATGAAGCCCCTTAGCGAAATATCGTTCGCCTTTTTTACCCTTTAAAAGTAGATTTTATATTGGTCAAATTTGTAATTTAATTATATTTCTAATATTTAGGACTTTTTGATCAATTAGTTATTAAAACTTTCCTTACTTGTACTATGTAAAAAGACCTAATATTTAGGATTTTAAATATAATATACTTGTAGACTATACTTACAACTAAAGTTTCATGGCATTCGAGGAGTTATCATCTATTTAGGATTAAATCTTCATAGATACGACCATACCAATCTAAGATGGATAAGAACATGTTGGACTACTTTTTTCTTCTATAATGACGGATCACGTTTAGTTTGAACTACCTTAGCTATAGTTGGAATATCGGTTTTTCAACAGGTAATTTTTTTATATTATATAATATGAATTCTCTCTCAAAAATTACTCCAAGCATCTATTTCAATCAAGAACAAAATATGAGATCTAGCATGCTTCTTACTTTACTCGTATTATTTATCCATCTTGTTATGATATTATTACATTTTTTAATAGTAGACTTTTTTAAGCGTTGCCACACGCAGAGAATATGATGTCTTTTTTGAGGTGATTTAATTTTTGTTGTCGATTATATGCACTTTCTCTCAAAGACAATGTCACCTATCTCATTGGAGAACAAAATAAGCCTACATCTATAGTGTTATTATTGTTTTTCACAAAAATTATAATCTATTCCATTTTGTGTCTCACACCTTCATGTAACATATCTATTTGGAATAATCAAATAAATAATACTAGATTCTTCTTCTTCTTCTTCTTAAATTAAAATTCACAAACTTCACAAAAGTTAGAATTATTAATATATTAAAAGCACGAATGTCTTTAACAAAATGTCGTTGTCTTTTTTATCCTTTAAAAATTGAGTTCACACTGGACAAAATAATCATTTTATTATTTTTCTAATATTTAGAAATAATCATTTAATTAATCTCATACTATTTAGAAATAGTCATTTAATTAATTTCTTACTATATAGGAATAGTCAATTAATTATTATCCTAATTTTTATAAACTAGAAAAAGTTTTTATTCAACGCCATTTGTATTTAGGAACTAAATTTCTTCTTTTAGGTTTCATAGGAGGTTTCTTTAGTTAATAAAATTCTGCCTAAAAAGTTTCTTTTTTTGAGTTCTCCTTTTAGGTTTAGGAGGGTTTTTTCTTTAGTTAACAAAATTTTACCTAAAAGTTTTGGTTTTTGTTTTCTTTAGTTAATAAAGTTTTGAGGTAGGAAAGTTAGAAAAGTTTCAGTGCTAACTTTTTAGAACTACTTTTTTATAAACTATATTAGGTGAAAACGAGCCTTTTGAACTAATTTATGGATTAGGAGTCTTTATTTTTTAATAATTCTTTTTTTATCTATTTGAACTATATGCAATTTTATATATATACCTAGATTACACCTATCAAATTAAAATCCGTTCTAATTTAGTTTTTGTGGATCCGCCTCTGACAGTATGCTTTGACAAGGTTCTTCTAATCCAAGTTTAATGATAATTCCAATAATAATCGTAGGACAATATTTTTTTATTTACTGAGTTAGCTAAATAGGACATGTCAATTTATATAATTTTTAGGCACTTGCACTTGCACTTTTATCTTTTGTATTTCTTTTTAGTTTATAAAGAATATTTCATAATGTTAGTGATGTTAGCTTCTTAAAGTTCTGTATGCAATAATATGGGATACACGCGCAACGCGCGTACCCTAAGATTAGTTAATATGAAAAGACTGTGTTACCCTTTCTTCTATCTCTTTCATGTGTTGGGGAGAAGAACAAATGGCAGACTCTTCTTCATCTTCAATGGGTTTGGCTCGTGTCGTGTATGCGTCTGCCATGAATTAATTCCATTGATGCACTTCAACTCTTTTAATTATCTAAACAATTATTTCTTATACTTTGTCACGACCCGGATTTTTCACCATCAGGAGTCGTGATGACGCCTACTCACAGAAGCTAGGCAAGCCACGAAATGCGGAAAAGTCAACCTCTTTTATTTTACCCTTTTTAACCAATTAAATTAGCAGGCAATCAACATTTAAATAATGACGAAAGATGAAATTTAAGCGGAAGACTTAGATAAATATTATACCAAAACCGATACGAATAAAAATCTAACATATATCTCTACCCAGAAACTGGTGTCTCAACATTCACGGACTGTCTAGGAATGCTACATACAAGTGTCTGAAAAAGGAAATATAGTCTGTCTCGGATACAAAAGAAAACAGAACATCTAAATGGATAGAAGAGACATCGGGCCTGCGGACGCCTGCAGGGCTAGCTCGGTGTCTCGGTGGACTGAAGACTGGCTCCCCTACCGCTGCTGACCAAGCGCTGCTCCTGTATCTGCATATAAGTGCAGAGTGTAGCATCAGCACAATCGACCCCATGTGCTGGTAAGTGTCTGGCCTAACTCCGGTGAGGTAGTGACGAGGCTAGGACCAGACTCCAGATAAACCTGTGCAATTATGTATATATATACAGCGGAAAGATAGACGGAAACAAACAATTAAAACTGGGGAGGGAAAACATGCTTCGGGGAATAACAGATAAGGCAGAATCTCAATAAAATTATAAGGAAACCAAAATTTAACTTCTAACAAGGATAAGGAAAATAAAGGTAAATTTCACTTTCA